GCGGGTGCGACGTGGACACGGGAGCGCGCCTTGGTGTAAAGAGCATAAGCGCTGAGAAATGAATGAACGAGAATGAAAGAATGAAAAGTGTGGCGTACTATCAGAGCAATTGGAGCCAGGCAGGATACAAGAGTGTTTTAGCAATTAAATAAACTCTGATTCTTCAAAGTCTAAAGTATTATTGCAATAGCACCACACTGTGACAGTGAGGGTCAGAACAAGAGTTCTCCCTGTAAGAAGTGCTTCCATTTGGCCCTGGAGCGATACAATCCCCTACCCCCCCTCGACCATGGTCGAGGTAGAGCCCCCAGCCTCCAAGAGAATACAAAAGGGCAGGGAGAGACGTGTGTGAAAATGCACTTCACAACAGGCGCAGCAGGAAGACGTAATGTGACGCACAATATCATGTCCCCAACACACCTCAGCCCTGGCCTGTACCAGTGATCTGCAAAGATCTCCTGCTGCTCCTCCAGCCCTGGCCTGTACAAGTGTTGGATGTGTTTATGTCCCTACAATAAAATAAATATTAAAGCCACCCAGTGTAATTTTTACAGCTGCTCCATAAGAAAAAACATGTTAAATTAAAGCCGCAAGCGGCGTCGAACGGCCCTCGCCGCCCCGCGCAACTCCCCACAGCGCGCAACTCCCCGCGCCGCACCACCCCGCACCTTCTACAAGCCGCCCCATACAACGCCGCACCGCGCCTCACTGCACCACGCCGCACTAAGCCGCGCCGCACTAAGCCGCGCCGCACTAAGCCGCGCAGCACTAAGCCGGTCCACACCAGCTCGTGCGACACCGCCCTGTACCGGTCCACACCGTACCGCGCCGTATCGCGCAAAGGAGGCACCTCCGCGCCATGATTTGCTCCTGTAGCCATAGAACACTGTTTGTGAAATTGTAATGAATGTGATCCGTCGGTTTGGTTCCCAATGCAAAACTTTGACATAGTCTGTAGGGGGCGCTAATGGGCCAATTTCAATTATTTCAATTTCAAATGACCTAGACCCTGGAGTTGAACAATGGATTCAAGTTTTGTGCAAATCGGAATTTGTTTGTGTGAAGAAGATGACAAAGTCTGGGATCGCGTCTTAAATTCAGACAGAAGACATGTTTTATTGTCGATGGTAGAGACAGCACGAACAACAGAATGCAAGTGTATTATACAGAGCGGAGGCATGGAGACCTCCAATCAGCAGCTGCCACAGTGCCAGCTGAGATAGTCAAAACAAGTAGTGGAAAAGTACAGGCTTCTGCACATTGATAGAATGATGAGTTTAACTTTAACAAAAGTTGCTTGAAAGTGTTATGACATCTCACATGTGCAAACGGGAGCAAATAGAATGTTGTGAAAAACGACCAATGAACACTCACATTTTGCCGCTCCGCTGCTCAAACAACGTTTCACTGATCAAAAATCCCTTTTGTCATTTTGAAGGTACATGTGTTGAGATGATGTGGAGCGATTTTGAGGCAAATCGGTGAAACGGCCGAGGAGGAGAAGATTTCCAACCGACATGTATTAAAATTTTTGCGGATCATTTTCCCATTTTTTAGGTGTAGGTAGCGCTGTTCTGGCATTTTTTGTGTCCCATAAAAATAAACACCAAAATATCACATTTTTCACCAGGTCTGATGTTTGGGCAAATTTTTACAACTTTTCAGGCATGTTCAGGGGGTGAAATTAAGGCTCAAAGTGCAGAACATAAATGCCTTCCGTTTGCACATACGTCCGATTTGCACAAAATTTGAATTGACTGTTCAACTCTCGGGTTTGAGTAAACTGAAAGTGTGAATCATTAAATTGCTGCATTAGTTCCCCCTACAGACTGCGTCAAGTGTTGCATGGGGAGAATTAAGTTTACCTTTTCAATAGAGACACACAATCACTGATCATAGGAATTCAAAATGCAGTGTCGCTCCCATCAGGGCGGTAGGAAAATGGCGTGTCAGCGCCACCTGCTTTGCGCTGTGCGGCGAGGGCCGTTCGACGCCGCTTGCATACAATATATACAATACAAAATACAATAAAAATCCTATAAGCATTTGAAAATGACAAAGACAAGTAACACACAGATTTAGCTTTATTGAAGAAACTGTTAAAAATACATAAAACCAACACGTGTCTTTCATGTCATGTCAATGTCATTGTTTCCACACAAAAATATTTCTAGGTGCACAGCACATAATTTTTTTGTTATTGATCAATGGGACTATGAATGGAATTGAGCCCCTGCATTTGGTTTCCAATGTGTCTGTTCATTAACATGCACTGTACCCTCAAAGTTAATAATTACACAAAAGAAGAAGGTCAAATATGTAGAGAAACAACACCACTTAGTTATTTTTAAAGGAATAGGCCACCGTTTTTACATACTGACATATGTTTTTGCCTTAGACTAGTTGATATATACCTGTCTGGTCTTTGTCCGTGCGCTCTGTCATGCAAACGGAGCACAAACGCAGCCTCTTCCACAGACTGTATAGTAACAAAATTAGCTCCCTTTAGAAGTTACCAAACTCTTCCACGTTTTCCCTATTTAAATACAGTTACGTGACGTGTTACACTACCTAGTACAGTAACACAGAAATGTAACATGTTGATTTTCTCAGGGGATAATAAGGGGTACTATATTGTGAGGCGTAAGAATACGAGGAGCACTTCGTCCGCGCACTAACTCCTAAAGACTTCTCTCCCGCTCATGCTGCTTCTATTGACGGAAGTGAGCGGGAGAAAAGTCTTGGGAGTTAGTGCGCGGACGAAGTGCTCCTCGTATTATTAAAGAGTTTGGTAGTTTCTAAAGGGAGCTGATTTGTTACCATACAGAATGCGGAAGAGGCTGCGTTTGTGCTCCGTTTGCTAGCGCACGGGCAAAGATCACACAGGTACAAATATCAACTAGTCTAAGGCTATATCCACACGAAGACAAAACGCTTATAATTTCAGAAACTTTTTCTGTAAACACGGAGTTAGCTCAGTAAATGTGTGCGTCCATATGAATGTAGTCAATACGCCTGAAAACGCTGTGAAACTATGCCAGACCTGTTGGTGGCGCTGTGACGCAATGACGGGATCAAGCCCAAACTTCCGTGACGGGAACTGGGCATGCGCAGAATTTTGTAAACAGACAACATGGCGAGTGGGCGAGCTGGTACTACATTAGTATGGACGGACGATGAGGTTGAACTGTTGCTTCGGGTCACACTGGATTACAAAACCAACAAGCTACATTGTTGTTGTCATTATTTTCTGAGTGCGGCGCATGCGTGCTTTAACAAGAGGCGGGGCGATGACGCAAGCGTCTCAGATACATTGCGGAGAGGCAGTAACCACGGAGCGGCATATACGGAGTTTAGAAATCTTTCCACTCTGGGACCTAGTTTCAAAAATGTTCGTTTACACCCCCCCAAAACGCCGGCCTCGTATGGACGATACACTGGATTGATAAAGTATTTTTGCGTTTAGGCCTGAGCTTGACTTCGTGTGGACAGGGCCTAAGGTAAGGTAAGAACATATGTCAGTATGTAAAAACGGTGGCCTATTCCTTTAAACACCTTTTTATAAAACATTGAATACAAAGCCATGTATCTCTATGATGTCAGTGCATCATTAAGAGAAAGAAGAAATTACCTCATGAGAAAATAATGACTTTCACATCAAAAATGTTTATATTAAAGTATATACAGTTGCTATTTTCATTTTTTGTGGGGTGGGGGAACTACAGGTGAGCTATGGAATGTTCGTGAAAGGTCTCTTTAATGTTCACTTTACTGAACATTGAATTGTTCATTAAATCACATTGCAGCAGAACCTATGCCACTTTGTCTTTGTTTAGGGAAGGCAAGGCAAGTTTATCTGTATAGCACAATTCATACACGAGGCAACTCAAAGTGCTGAACAAAACAAGAAAGCATTAAAATCATAAATAATCACAGTACATTAAAAAGAAAATCCCTCAGTTGTATGCACAGCTAAACAGAACTGTCTTTAGCCTGGTTTTAAACATTGTCAAAGAGGAGGCCTGTCTCAGACTTTCAGGAAGATTGTTCCAGATTTTAGCAGCATGAATCTGAAAAGCAGCCTCCCCATGTTTAGTTCTGACTCTGGGCACTAACAGGAGTCCAGTCCCTGTGCTCCTCAGAGTCCAGGCTGGTTCATATGGGACTAACATGTCACTAATATATTTTGGTGCGAGGCTATGGAGAGACTTGTAACAAGCAGAGCTGTTTTAAAGTCTATTCTCTGAGCCACAGGAAGCCAGTGCAGGGACCTGAGGACTGGACTAATGTGGTCGTACTTCCTGGTTCTAGTCAGGACTCGAGCTGCTGCATTTTGAATGTACTGCAGCTGTTTTACAGCCTGTTTGGACAGACCTGTGAGCAGGCCATTGCAGTAGTCTAACCTACTGGAGACAAATGCATGGATAAGAATCTCCAGGTCTGCTTTAGACACTATGTTTTTGATCCTGGCAATGTTTTTTAGATGGTAAAAAGCTGCTGATGTTACTGATTTGATGTGGCTATTAAAATTTAAGTCTGAGTCCAGTATTACCCCTAGATTTCTGACCTTGTTTGAAGGTTTTAGGGAGAGAGACTGTAGGTGACAGATGACGCTCTCTCTTTGTTTCGTATGGAAAAATCCTGTAAACTGTAATCACATGAAAAAGACATGTCACTGTAGCAACAAATCACTGTTGTTCAGTTGATGAGCCTTGAGTCTCTGTGAAATTGCATTTGTATTTATGTACATAATCAAATGCCAAGCCTTCACAGTGCACACCATAACAATAATCATCACGTCAATGGACTTTTTGATGGCTTTTGACCTCAATTACTAAGCCCAGCACAGACAATAGGGCAAAACTCAACGTATATGACAGGGCTTTGGTGAAACACTCCAATTGTGTTGTTTTTTATTCTTTGACTTTGAAGAAATATTGCTCTTTTGAACTGCAATTTTTGAAGCCCTTTGTGAAAGAACATAATAAGAAAAAACAGCTTCAAGCGGCACTATACTTCTGTAGCCAGGTAACAGTTACAATGGGCTCCACTGAGAGGACGTCTGAGCGGCCCGAGAGCGCTTCCCTGCCACTGAACACCACGTGAGTCTCTTTGTGGGTTTGAGGGTGACTTGTGGAGGGGTGGCTTTGCTGCGAGGAACTCCGACCAGCGTGAGACTGCACTGGCCTGGATCCGGATGAATTGTTATCGGGCCAGGCTGCTCTGTGGCACGGAGGAGCCACTGCTTCTACAGGCCGACACTCTGGTTCCAACCCAACTTCGGGTCTCCTTCGCTTGCACATATCCAAAAGCACCTGCAGCTCCTGTCTGAACATGGGATTCAAACAGCAATAGATAAACGGGTTGTAACAAGTAGAGCTCATTGCCAGCCAGTGAAAGCAGAAATACAGCAAGTTGGAGGATTGGATAGCATGGCTGGACAAAAGCACCACATAGCAGTTGAGCGGAAACCAGCAGATGGCAAACACTCCAACCACTAGGAGCAGCATAGCCAGTGTGCGTCGCCTCTTCCGTCTGTGTGTGGCATGCTGGGCTGTGGTGGTGTCCCCGATTGCGTTGTGGCGCCAAAGACGTCGAGCCACGGTTGAATAGGAGGCGGTGATGATGAGGAGAGGAAGCATGTACAGCAGCACAAAGGTCAGCAGGTCGATGTATTGCCAGTAGACTTCTGAGGGTTCAGGGAAGTCCGGCACACAAAGGCTGCGTTCCCTGTCTTTACTGAAATCACATAAAAGCACATCAAGGTTAGGTTGGAAAAAACTAAAGAAGGAAGAAGAAATGCACAGAGTCAAGTTTCCATCCCTATTGTAGACTCAAGAACCCTGAGTAGCCTGTACAACAAACAAGTAAGGGATAACGTATATTACGCAGGTCATTATCAGAAAATAAGTACCTTCAGGGCGGAAGCAGACCCCTCCGCGTCGGGGTCCGCTTCGCCCTGTCGGTACTTATTTTCCGATAATGACCTGCGTAATATACGTAATCCCGCTTATTATACGGCTTTATACCAACAGAACACACAACATAAACTTCAGTCCACTTTTAGGAATGCCGAAAGGTTTATTTAATGACAGAAAATAAGATAGTTCCCAAAGGCTTTCCCGTGGCTATGCTAGCAACAGTTAGGCTGGCAACTTCCAAACTAGAACTCCCTGGAACTGCATGAAAACTGAACAAAGAATTCTGAACATCAGCGGTGAGTGACTCAAACATAAACCTAACCTAAATCCATAATGCGATCCTCTGCAAATGTGTCCGAAAATGTGCCGGTATCTTAAAATGTGCCGGTATCTACTTCCGGGTTTTTCGGGATCGCCTTTTCTCGCATTACATCAGTGTTTTGGTCATGAAAACGTAAACGGAAAATTCTGAAAACTTCCGTGCACTTGTATTAAGACTGGATATGTATAAATTACTCTCCGATAAACATTTCATTGCGTTGATTGATTGGCATTTGCGTTTATTGAGCGGCCAGAACTACTTCCGGGTTTTTCACGATCGCTTTTTGATGCAGAGAAATAGTATTTTTGTCATGAAGACAAGACCAGAAAATTCTGAAAATTTCCGTGCACGTGTGTGAAGAATGTATATGTATAAGTATTCTCCGATTAACTTTGAAGTGTGTTGATTGAGCGTGGCTAGCTCCGGAGTGGCCGGAACTACTTGCGGAGTTATCCACGCATCTGAAATACAAGCAGAGAGTGCGTTGCCATGGGCAGCGGTCATTATTGTTTTGAGAGGTCCGTTATAGAAAATAATGACCGGTAGAACGTTTTGAAATTACATTCAAATCAATGGAGCATTCTGCTGCTGCTGTGAGGAGCCGTATAATAATGAGGACTAATGAACACTGCCAACCTGATCTCACGTCTCATGCGTCGGTGCAATATCCTTCGCTAGATACGTCAGAATGTGCAATAACCACATGTCACTTTCACTTTACTGAGTCACTGTGTCTCAGAACCTCATGCTGCTAACGTACAGATGTAAACATACTGCTGCTAATGTACAGATGTAAACATACTGCTGCTAACATGTACAGATGCTAACATAAAACTACACATTGCTTGCACTAAAATACACAGTACTTTATTCTTGCCTCTTATTTTGCCAAATGTAAAACCTTTATACTTCTTTTTAGATAGAAGATAGATATTTTATACTTGTTCTTTAATGCTAGAGTAAGACATTTTGTTTTATTTTAATTAGTATAGCTATTGTTCACTTGTGCTGTGTGCTCCTCAATCCTACTGTTCTATTACTTATAATTCAACACTGAAATTTCCCCACTGTGGAACGAATATAAGATCCCTTAATCTTCATCTTAGCCAAGTGGTTTTCTAACTACGCAGCCGGCAGCACAGAGAAGGTGCACTGTGATTGACCCGCGTGTGACCACGTTTTGGATGGAAGTATGGAACAGCTGCGGGGAACATGGACAAGGCACTTTGAAGCAGACTGTTTTGTGCTTCGAAGGGAACCAAAAGAAAAGCAGTTTGGGCTCGTGGCTCACGAGCCTGATATACGCAGAGGCTGTGGACAATAGTTTTGTTCCATATCGGACATTTATATACTATACAGTCGTTTCTTTTGCATTGTTCCTGTCTTTTGCACTTGTAGTCTTTGCGCGTCTGTTGCATTTACCTTGTAGTTGTAAATGGTTCATGTTTGGGCTCAGATATTCATCACTTCTTGTTTTGCTTGTTTGTGCACAAATAGACTTAAATAATAGCTATGTTTCCAACAAGAACTGTGTGTTTATTCACAGTATCACGGTTAAAATAAGTAATGAAACAATGAGTCCATAGAACTTTCACATCAACCTACTGTACATCTAGAAACATATTTAATGAGCTCAAACGGCTTGGTTCGCTAATGTTTTTGTTCTGAAGAGGAGAAAGTAGCTGACGTAAATGGGACCGCTTTGGTTTCCCAGGGCAACTCCTGTGAAATCGCCATCATGTGATTGTGTTGTGGAATTACAACATTCTCCTCAAAACTACTCAGGGGGGTACCGCCCAGTGTACGAGCAACTGTGGCTGCGTGTGTACAGTGCAACCGCCAACGCAACCAGTGACGCCCAAGTGTACACAAGCCCTTACTTTTAAAGCGGCCGTATGTAAAATCTGCACCTTAAATTTTGTGTTGTGTCCCAGATACTGTAATAGGTCAACGTGTACAAATTATATTCAACCTTCTCTGATTAACACTTTCAAGTTAAACATTAGATAATTTCAAGCAGATTATCCCATCAGAGAGAAGAATTTCTTCCATGTGGGTGCCAGTCCCATAGAGGAAATTTAGCAACTTTTTGTTTCTTCCTGAAAGCTGGTACAAAAATTAGTAGTCATACATAATGCACACATTTTTAGTGTTTCTAGCTAAATTCCATCAGGTGGTTTGCATCATTAATCAGGGCTTAGGAGCTGCATATGTCACAGGCTATAAGATTCTGGCAAAAAAAAGTTGGCTTGTAATTGTAATGACTTTACTATCCCTGTAAGTTATGGTGCAATACATACGGTCTCTTTCAATGATAATTAATTAAATTGATTCATTTGGTTTTACACATCAGCTGCCAACTGAAAAGCGGCAGACCTCATTATCAGGGTTGATCACACATTATCGCTGTGATTGCAGAGTGGGGCAAAGCGTTCCATAGCTTTGGTCCAGCCACAGAAACGGCCCTGTCCTGTGTATTTACTCTGATGGGAAGGGCTCCTGTGAAAGTCAATTATCTTCTCCTTGGTCTTGGATGCATTAAGAATCAGACCATTTTTCTCACTCCAGTCTGAGAAGGCAGCCACCACCTCCCTGTACTCTGCTTCATTCCCCCCCTTCATACATGCCACAACAGCAGTATCATCCGAGTATTTTTGTACATGGCATGTAGCAGAGTTGTGAAAAGTAAGGGAGCCAGAACGGTACCCTGTGGTGCTCCTGTATTGCTCACAACAGTCCCAGACACGCTCTTCCCTAACCTGATATACTGTGCCCTCACAGTGAGGTAATTGTAAATCCAGTTGGTAAAGATGGGATCGACTCCAATCTTCTCCAATTTCTCCTTCGGTAAGAAAGTTTGGATGGTGTTAAATGCACTGGAGAAATCAAAGAGTATCAGCCTCACATATCCTCCAGGGTCATCCAGAAAGGACACGGACTGATGGAGCATGTAGAGGACGGTGTCTCAACCTGTGACATGAGCAGTCCGAGTACTAGTTAAATGTACTAATTAATCAGAGGCTTTGTGATTAATTAATTGCATTTTAATCGCATATAAATATTTTCACATGGATTTTTAGTTTACCATTGAATAATGACTGAATACATAAGCTTAAGCAACACATTCTCATTGAGGATGATAAGGGGAGCAGACGGACTTCTTTCCATCAAATAACTTATCTGTTATCGCCTCCACACACTCTGACAACAACAGACGCTTTTTATAACCAAAATCCACTGCACTAACAGTGAGCACTAGGGCTTTGACTTCAAAATCCGATATTCGAATATAATTCGAATATTTAAAAAAATATATATATTCAAACAAATATTAGACAGCCCTTAATATTCGAAATGTATTTAATGACTGCAAATAAAATAAATAGCTCCCAAAGGTTTTGCTGTGATGTGACTAGGCCACATGTGTCAAAGTCAAGGCCCGCGGGCCAAATCCGGCCCGCGAATGAATTATCTATGGCCCCCGGGACATTGCCTGCCATTGAGGCAATGTATTGACCCCTTAAGCTCGCTAGCCCCCGCCGGCGGGAGCAAACGGGGAAAAAAATACTTCTGTTGGCAATAGCAGATGTATTTTGAACTTCATAAGCCACAAGCTATATATCATTTTGTGTAAACGATATCAGACTTTGCATTAAAAAGATATAACGCATAATATGGGCACAAAATAAATCACGTCTGTATTTGTTTTTTACCTTTCATCTTCTGCTGCTCCAACAAATTAGATTTTCCCCATCCTTGCTTAGTCGCTTTCTCTCCGTAACTGTCTATTATCCAATCCAGAAATCCAATCTCCAGGTTGATCATGATATCTTCCAAAATGAGTTGTGCAAGTTTAACAGGGTGCTACGTAGAACAAGAGAAATTTATTTTTCTAAAACCATTGATGGCTGCAATAATAATCTATGACTTATGTTTTCAACAGTTAACGGATTAACAAACCCCCCTGTTCAGCTGCCATTCGAATTTGCTTCAGAATCTAAATGTAATGAGTTTGCACAATTTTTCAATGACAAGGTTCAGAGCATCAAAAACGCCATCACCTCCAAGGCAGAAATAACATTACAACAGCCGGTGAGGCTGTTTGAGCTATCGCACTTTGCACCAACAGATAATGAAACTGTCCAAGATGTTGTCTCTAGCCTTAGTTCCTCCACATGTAGCCTGGATGTACTACCCACTAAATTTTTTAAGTCTGTTTTGAGCAGTCTTTTACCTTTGCTCACACAAATAGTGAACATGTCTTTCTCATCTGGAACATTTCCAATGGCCCTGAAAACGGCAGTCATCAGACCCCTCCTAAAAAAGAGGAGTCTAGATGCCACAGTTCTTAAGAATTATCGCCCCATTTCAAATCTGCCGTTTATGGGAAAAATTCTGGAAAAAGTTGCTTACCAACAACTTACAGAATTCTTAGTAACTAATAGTTCGTTTGATGCGCTCCAGTCCGGCTTTAGAGCCAATCACAGCACTGAGACTGCACTAGTGAAGGTTACAAATGACATCCGACTTAACACCGACACAGGAAAAGTCACAGTTTTAGTAATGTTGGATCTGAGTGCTGCGTTCGACACAGTCGACCACGAGATCCTCATGCAGAGACTAGAGCACTGGGTGGGTGTCACTGGGACTGCCCTAAGTTGGTTTAGGTCTTACCTAGAAGACAGGAAATACTTGGTTCAGATGGGAAGCTGTGTCTCAGATCATATGGCTCTGACCTGCGGAGTGCCACAGGGATCAATTCTGGGGCCTCTTCTGTTCAATATTTACATGCTGCCGTTAGGTCAGTTAATACGCTCCAACAATGTATCCTACCACAATTACGCTGATGACACTCAAATTTATGTCTCACTTACTGCAGGAGAACATGGACCAGTGGAATCACTCCTTCACTGTACTCAACAGATTAGTGATTGGATGCAAAATAACTTCCTTCAGCTAAACGCAGACAAAACAGAATTGATTGTCTTTGGTCCTCAGAAACAAAGAGAGAGCGTTATTCGTCACCTCCAGTCTCTCTCCCTGGAACCTGTAGGCAAGGTCAGAAACCTAGGAGTTATAATGGACTCAGACTTAAATTTTAACAGTCATATCAAATCAGTAACATCAGCAGCATTTTACCATCTGAAAAACATTGCCAAAATTAGAAACATAGTGTCTAAATCAGATCTGGAGATTCTCATCCATGCATTTGTCTCCAGTAGGTTAGACTACTGCAATGGCCTGCTCACAGGTCTCTCCAAACAGGCTGTAAAACAACTGCAGTATGTCCAAAATGCTGCAGCTCGAGTCCTGACCAGGACCAGGAAATATGACCACATTAGTCCAGTTCTCAGGTCTCTGCACTGGCTTCCTGTGGCTCAGAGAATAGACTTCAAAGCAGCACTGCTTGTGTACAAGTCTCTCCATGGCCTCGCACCAGGGTACTTAAGCGACTTGTTAGTCCCATATGAACCGGCCCGGACTCTGAGGAGCACAGGAGGTAGCCTCTTACTGGTTCCAAGAGTCAGAACTAAACATGGGGAGGCAGCGTTTGAGATTTATGGAGCTAAAATCTGGAACAATCTTCCTGAAGATGTGAGGCTAGCATCTACTCTGGCAATTTTTAAATCAGGGCTAAAAACTGTTCTTTTTAGCTGTGCATACGGCTGAAGGATTTTATTGATACATACTCTTTTTTTTTTTTTTTTTTTTTTTAATGCATTGTGGTTATTTATTATTTTAATCCCGTGTGTGCTTTTAATATTTTTTTTTTTTTTTTTCATTACTTGTGATTTTATTCTGTTTTTAATGTATTTATTGATGTCTCTGATTTGTGTGATATTATGTGGGTTGTGAGGCGCTTTGAGTGGCCTTGTGTTGGAAAGGCGCCATACAAATAAAGTTGATTGATTGATTGATATTGAAGAAGAATATCCACTTGTATTTCCCAAAGTATAATCCATTTTGCAGATTTAATCAAAAAACGCCGGATTACCGCCGGACAACCCACCAGTTCCTCTGTATGATCATGCACACAGTGTGACAACCGGTCAAATGAAGTGTAGGAGGCGCCTGTAGCTAAAGCATATCAGTTACCCACTGTATATTGTGAATCAAAGTTAGATCGCGGAAAAAATATCTGCAGCTTGCTCGGTTCCGACTTTCCCCACGACAACACACCCACCGGTGAATAGAGCGCGCTTATTTCAGGATGTGTTGCCACGGGGACCGATAGCTTAACGCTCAGACAGAAGTAGTGCCAGGCACTGAAAGCCTGTTGTGACGGAGTGTGCAAACTACTGTCCAGAGTAATCTTAGTATTTTACACACCTGAAGTACAAGCACAGAGTGCGTTGCCAAAGGGTAATAATCTCTCCTTGCATGTCTTGGACCATTGAACTGGCGCGTTCACCGAAAAGTAGGCGCGGCTTCAAGAACAATCAGAAAGTAAGGGGGAGGGAGCTTCAAATCATGTCCGTCATATCACTTTGATACAAAAATAATAAAAGTTTGTTTTGTGCTTTACCTTATATCTATAATTACCCAATCATTCTTGATCTCAAACAATATAATACAAAAAACAAGTTCTCTGGAAGGTATTACCTGTAAGTGAAGGTTAAGAGTTGTTGGTAGATGGCGTGTGGCAGAGAGAAACAGCTGCCCATTATCCAGATGACCGCCAACCAACAGCCTCCCTGCGTCAGAGACATCCGCGGCCGCAGAGGGTGCAGAATGACCTGAAGAGAACACACTGGTTAATTTCCTGTAAAATCATGAAAAGGTAAGTTTTAACATTTTAAAGCAATTTATGGGAGTAACTGAAGTAGGCTTTGCATCGTCTACTAATAATGTACGATAGTGTGTAATGACACATGTGTGTGTGTATGTTTAAGTGGAATATATAAAATTTCCTGTTATTTATTGTCATTAATTTATTATGGATAATAAATAACGGTGAATATTTTTTGTTTTCCAACAATGAGGGGTCAACTTATTTGATCAATAATGACCATGAGATATACCGTACATTACTGTATATCTCATGGTCATTATTGCGAAGATATTACCTATAGATTGCCTCCGGGCTGCCAAGGATTTGTGAAACGTGTGTCTCCACAAAGCACAGTCCAAATATTAGATTAAAAGTTCTTTATTGGCCCCTATGACCAGTAATCTGCATAAACATAATACAATTTCACAGTAGTTAATAGTAATTGTGTCAGTATTTTGTCAAAATTTTTAGCCAAGGCACAATATAAAGTCATTCTCATCAAACGCTTAAAAAGACATACAGGAATTGATATTAAGCTGTGTTTAATATTTCTCAATACAATGAGTTAACAAGAGTTTGGGAACTGTGTGGAAAGAAATATAAAAAAATCCACTTTCAGCCCAAAAGTCAAATAACGACTCAAAGGGCTCTTAAGTATGCAAAATAATAATACAAAAAATTAGTGTGTTGAGTGTTGTTTGATTTGTTCACAACATTTTAGTTTTTGGGCGACAGTAGCTCAGTTGGTAGAGCATTGGCCTTTGGGCCTGAAGGTCGTGGGTTCGAACCCACCGTAAGACCTACTTCACGACTCCCACTGATGACTGCTGTCGTTGTGTCCTTGAGCAAGACACTTAACCCTACTTTGCCCAAAGCCCCAACAGAAAGATCTCAGCTCCTGTGGACTCACCACCTGCAGGAGGATCAGTGAGGGGCTGGTGCTAAGTGAACTGGGTGCAGCTCTGACTGCCACCCCCCCGACCCAGAAATGGATTAAGGGGAAGAAAATGGATGGATGGATTTTAGTTTTGTGCACAATAAAACATGCAATGTTATTGCATGAGGAAAATTTAGGTATCCGAACTTTAATTTTGGGAGTTTTGGTTGCGCTTCGGGATGAGATTTAATATTTACAGTCTATATACAGTCTACAGGGGAGACACAGTGGTTCTGTCCACGCGTCTTTGGTCAGCGCTCGGTCCCACGTTACGGATGTGCGTTCGCTGAGCTCGCAGTCACATTCACTTCTCACTCGCAACAATGCTCCTTGCTCCCTGTTACATTTGTGGGTCGCGTCTAATTCTTAAATTTCTTGCCATAATGATCCCCACTTATGAAGGTTATTTTGTGTTATTATTATCAACACTTTTTTTGCTTTTGAATTATAAAAACTATGACAAAAAAGTATTCAGTGTAAATAAATTCAATGTTTTAAAATTCAGTGTCAGAAAATTCATTGAATTTTTTTTCGCTGGTGGAAATGCCATGCTTGATTTCCGGGTAAATCAAGACAGAAGCAATCGATCAGCCAAGATGTAGCCGGGTCCCACGGTTTCGGGAGTCATGTCAGGTGCGGGTGGGCCGGGTCAAAAAGCTCTTGATCGGCCTGTATAATACTGTATATATATGTGAGCCATGGTGTGGGAGTCCCTTGAGTACATTTGCAATCGCGCTGAATTTTTTGTTTAACAGCCTCCCTGGCTGTTAAACAAAAAATTCATCGTGACAATCACCCGCAAGATTGCCACCTTCCTGACTCCCCGCTTTAAAAGCCTCAAAATGGTCCAGGCCGATGAAAGACGTGTAATCCACACAGAGGTGCGTAGGCTGATGACGGTGTGGGCATCACAGCAGAGGCCTTCTGAACTAGGTGCGTAATTTCACAGGCTACAGGTGTTACGCGGGCTTAGCCTATATTAATATGGCATGTGCAACATCTCAAAATAGTTTGAGTGAATATTCCCTTTTACTCATTATTCAGTGGTTTGTAGAGGAGATGGAGAGCAGCGAGAGAAGTTTGGCAGGGGAGGAGCCGTGTGGAGTTATAAAATAAATAGTTTACAGCATCTTCATTATGATTGTTTATGTATTTATTATAAATGTTAGGGATGCCAGAGAAAAGGCGTCGGCTTTTTGCTGAGTAGGAAAACACACCAGAAGATCTGTTTGAGGCAGATGATGACGTTCAGCATTATATTACTAATAGTTTCTCTTGCCATAACGATATTCTCTCTTTTTGGAAAGATCACCAACGTGATTACCCTAGTCTATCAGGTTCGGGGCGGGCCGCGTTGAGAAATCAATGCGCACTTCTCTGGGTTGGGCGGGCCGGATTGAGTTTTAATTTGGGGCGGGCGGGTCGGGTTGTAAAAAAAATGACCCGCGCATCACTAGTAGCCGGGGCCAGAACTCAACTTGTCCTGTTCATCTGAACATGGCGTCCCCCAGCAAACTGGTAAATGCGTTTTCTCATCATTAGTCTGTATGTAGCGTACTTGCTGAGATTAAACAAACTTATTCAATCACCCGCAAGAAACACAAACCACTGACTATGTACTTTCTGAGCATGTTTTTAACTTAGATTATCATTAGCTAGCTCCGCGAAGGTGGCTTCTTCATTTTGGCAATTCCCCAAAGCTAATCTTCGCTAATGCTAAGCTAAAACACAGGAATTCAATTCATGAGTGTAATTTAAAGTATAATTTGAAATGTATTTGAAATGTATCTATTTATCTATTTCTTTAGTGACGGTCAATACAAGCAGTATACTACTGCTTCTTCAGGTTCGAGTCAGAACAAGACGTCATGGTGTTGAATACTTCATTGGTAAGTTTAGCCTGTTTAAAATTGTCATATTGAGGCCAGTTTTATTTGAATCTAACTGTTTTTGTTATTCCTTAGGAATCAATTAGACGACAATCTTTAGAAAGGACAAGAGAAAAGATTTCCGCAGTGATAGCCAGGAAGCCGGTGGATATGATTTATTTTCAATCGGTTATTTGTCAAGCGCTACAGTTCTGTTGGCTTGAGTCAAGTTGGGCGACCTAGACTCGGGATCAACAGAGAGACATTGGAGGGCAGTTTAGCTCTGAGATTGCCCATGGAATCTATGGCGAACATTCAGTGTCTCTAGGTCAACTCTTTGTAAGAGAATGCGAGAACACAACCTGTCTGTCAGAGGGACCTATTCAGACATCCCAGATGATGCTCTCGATGTTGAAATCCATTCAGTGAAGTCTAGAATTCCAGAAGCAGGCTACAGAACTGTGAAGGGAGCATTGCAGGCCATGGACTACAAATTGTTGACATGGACCAGAGTTAAGGCATCATTGCAGCGAGTGGACAGTGCAGGTGTCATTTCAAGGCCAGGCGGACATATAATGTTCTGCTCCTCTAAGCCTATTCCACATCGACACCAAACATAAATTGACAAGGTATTTGTATTTGTATATTTGTGGCTATAAACAGACCTGTTTGAGTGTGTTTGATGGTTTTTCCAGAAAGGTAAGATTATTGTTCTCCTTCAGTATTATTGGATACATCTTTTGTCTCTCAAGATTATTGAATTCATCCATCCATCCATTTTCTTCCGCTTCATCCGTTGCCGGGTCGCGGGGGCAGCAGTCTAAGCAGAGACGCCCAGACTTCCCTATCCACACACACTTCCTCCAGCTCGTCCGGGGGGACCCCAAGGCGATCCAAGGCCAGCTGAGAGACATAGTCCCTCCAGCGTGTCCTAGGTCTTCCCCGGGGCCTCCTCCCAGTGGGACGTGCCCGGAACACCTCCCCAGGGAGGCGTCCAGGAGGCATCCGGAACAGATGCCCGAGCCACCTCAACTGGTTCCTCTTGACGTGGAGAAGCAGCGGCTCTACTCCGAGCTCCTGCCGTGTGACTGAGCTCCTCACCCTATCTCTAAGGGAGCGCCCAGCCACTCTGCGGAGGAAGCTCATTGCAACCGCTTGTATCCGCGATCTCGTTCTTTCGGTCATTACCCACAGCTCATGACCATAGGTGAGGGAGGGAACGAAGATTGACCGGTAAATTGAGAGCTTTGCCTTTCGGCTCAGCTCCCTCTTTACCACAACGGTCCGATACAGCGACCGCATCACTGCGCACGCTGCACCGATCCGCCTGTCAATCTCACGCTCCATTCTTCCCTCACTCGTGAACAAGACCCCGAGATACTTGAACTCCTCCACTTGAGGAAGGACCTCTCCACCCACCTGTAGAGGGCAAGGCATCTTTTTCCGGTCGAGCACCATGGCCTCTGATTTGGAGGTGCTGATTCTCATCCCAGCCGCTTCACAGTCGGCTGCAAACCGCCCCAGTGTATGCTGTAGGTCCTGGTTCGTTGGAGCCAACAGGACAACATCGTCTGCAAACAGCAGAGATGAAATCCTGTGGTCTCCGAACCGGACCCCCTCTGACCCCTGGCTGCGCCTAGAAATTCTGTCCATAAACACAGTGAACAGAACCGGTGACAAAGGGCAGCCCTGTCGGAGGCCAACATTCACCGGGAACAGGTCTGACTTACTGCCGGCAATGCGAACACAGCTCTGGCTCCGGTCATACAGGGATCGGATGGCCCTCAGCAGAAGACCCCCGACCCCGTACTCCCGGAGAACCCCCCAAAGGACTCTCCAAACTCCTCCCAGTTGCGGGTTTTTGCCTCTGCAACAGCCCGGGCCGCGGCACGCTTGGCCTGCCGGTACTGGACAGCTGCCTCAGGAGTCCCCCGAACCATCATGGCTCGATAGGACTCCTTCTTCAGCCTGACAGCATCCCTTACTGCCGGTGTCCACCACCGGGTTGGGGGGTTGCCGCCGGGACCAGCACCAGAGACCTTGCAACCACAGCTACGAGCCGCCGCATCGGTGATTGAGGCAGAGAACAAGGTCCACTCAGACTCCATGTCCTCCTCCTCCGCCGGGACCTGGGAGAAGCTCTCCCGGAGGTGTGAGTTGAAAGTCCGTCTGACAGGGGGCTCAGTGAGAGGTTCCCCGCAGACCCTCACTATACGCTTGGGTCTGCCAGGTCTGACCGGCTTCTTCCCCTGCCAGTGGATCCAACTCACGACCAGGTGGTGATCGGTTGACAGCTCCGCCCCTCTCTTTACCCGAGTGTCCGAGACACGCGGTCGAAGGTCAGATGATACGACAACAACGTCGATCATCGACCACCGGCTTAGGGTGTCCTGGTGCCACGTGCACTGGTGGACACCCTTGTGCTCGAACATGGTGTTCGTGATGGACAAACTGTGACTGGCACAGAAGTCCAACAACTGAACACCGCTCGGGTTCAGATCAGGGGGGCCGTTCTTCCCAATCACCCCTCTCCAAGTGTCACTGGCAATTCCCACATGGGCGTTGAAGTCCCCCAGGACTCCAAGAAGGCCGGGTACTCTGCACTGCTGTTAGGCCCGTAGGCCGTCACAACAATGAGAAACTTGTCCCCCACCCGGAGGCGGAGGGACGCGACTCTCTCATTCACCGGGGAAAACTCCAACACGTGGCGGCTGAGATGGGGGGCAATGAGACTGGCCACCCCAGCTCGCCGCCTCTCCCCGCGGGAAACACCAGAAAAGTGGAGCGTCCAACCCCTCTCAAGGAGTTGGGTTCCAGAGCCCAAGCTGTGTGTGGAGGTGAGGCCGACTATCTCTAGTCGGTATCGTTCAACCTCCCCCACGAGCTCGGGCTCCTTCCCCCCCAGTGAGGTGACGTTCCACGTCCCAAGAGCCAGATGTTGTGTGTGCGGACTGGGTCGCCGAGGTCTCTGCCTTCGACTGCCGCCCAATCCTCTTAGCACCGCTAAGAGGATAAATTGTGTGAAAACTGAAACATCTCATTTAAAAAGATTCTCCATGCTTAGGCCCATACATTCAAGAAAACAGCTTTTACCTTTCAATAATGACCAGAATATAATTTTTCAATATCCAAGACAAAAACTAAACATTTCTTTTCAGAGTCAGTGCAGATAGAGGAGTTGAAAATGTCGACATTGTTTTAAGTGCGTGGAACTGACCGTGGTAGCTTCATTGCTGGGAGAAGTGTCCATAACCAACGGTAATAGTCAAATTATTTCTCACTCATTTTAAGCATTTGTAACTTAGTGGAGCGTCTATGGAGAGATGTCTGGACTGGGGTAACTTCCCAGTACTATAATGCAATTACAATAAAATACAATTCACAAAGAAGTCATCTCAGAGGACTTAACAAAACCATTGAAATCACCGACACAGATCAGAGAGCTGTGATAATGAGCTCCACATTCTAGAGAGAGAGGGCCTACTGGATCTGACATGTGCTCTTCATGTGTTCTGCGTGCACTATGTTTACATACCACGTCTACAGCAGATCTTTATTATTTTGTCAATACAGTACATGGGACTGCCACCCCCTCAGCACTGAGCACATTTTTGGACAATTGGGATGCTTCAAGTTCCAACGGCAGAACCAGATTCTTCACCAGTCTGTTTAAATCCATTATATGGCTTTCACATACATACATACATACATTACATAGCAGAAATGGCATTAAGAAATGGACAAAAATAGCTCAGAACACTGCATTTAAAAATTACTGAAAAATAGCCCTTGTGAAACAGCTAATTTTTATTTGTCAAAGCATGTGAATGGTTTGACATTATGATTCTCTCATCCTGGATTGTGGAGTTGGACGCATATTTAGTCTAAAAGGTGGCCATACAAGATATTTAATACTTTGAGACTAAAGATCTGTGTAAAGACAACACACACTTAAAGACACACATAAACACATGTGAGGAGTCCAACCACAGATTATGCCATCTAAGAGTTGTTATTGAACCACGCCTCCTAAGAAATAAAATCTGTCTGAAAATACTCTAGTGTGTGTCCACCTCAAGTGTAGTTGAGCTGTAAAATCTCACAATACTAAACATATATTTTAGCAACTTATGGGGAATGTTAAATAATAAGAATGATTTTTAATTTTTTTGCAGATACAACAAATGGAAGATTCTGAAATGGAGAAAACCACCCATTATGGTGTGACAGTGGAAGAGGTGTTATGTCCCTTGACAACTGATGGCCTTGCTGCAGTTGAGCAGATGAGCCCTATGGCAGAGTCTGTGTGTTTTGGAGGGGATATTTACCTACAGATCCTTCAAGTGGCTTCCAATTTTTAGAAGAGGGGGATAAGATGTTCAAATGTTTCTTAAATGCATTGGTAAAAAGTAAAAGGGAATTGAAGTACTTCAGTAGGCTTCGATTATTAAGCCTAATTTTGACTTTGTTTCGGACTGTTATTGTGACTCCTGTACACTTTGGATTTTGATAAGTAAAATAATTGCTATAATGGTTTTCAAATGAATAATTTCCAGTTAATCTCGACCTAAATTGATGAATCTAATACAGCAGTAAAGCTTGTCTCATCAGTAACACTAATTCTCAAACACCTGTTACTGGTTTAAGAGTGTAGTATTAAATACTGTTCACAATGTTGCCACCTATCAAAAAAAAAACTTTACTTAGGCTGCAGCTGACGATTTATAACACGAAAAACAATGAAGATGAAGTCTCCGCTCATACGTGTGCTAAGCTCTCGCAAGGGACTGTCTGCAAAGTGCAAGATTTGACAGAAAGTTGCAGATGGGTTGGTGAATACAATAAAACGGGTGTTTTTAAAAAGTAAATTTTCCCAGTTTTGATGGGTGTAGTAGCTCCCACTGAATAGGCTAAATTTGGGGAAAATATTGTTTTCCCCTTCACAGTAACGAAAATGAAATTATAAAAATTCACAAAAAATAAACAAAGACCGTTTTCCCAGTTTTGATGGGTGTAGTAGCTCCCAATAAATGATAGCTAGCTACTACAGCTAAACTTTTGGGAAAAATATTGTTTTCCCCTTCACAGTAGGAATAATGAAATTGGAAAAATTAACTAAAAATCAACAAAGATATTTTTCCCAGTTTTGATGGGTGTAGTAGCTCCATTTGAGCAATAGCTAGCTACTACAGCCAACATTTTGGGAAAAATATTGTTTTCCCCTTCACAGTTGGAATAATGATATTGGAAAAATTCACAAAAAAATCAACAAAGATATTTTTCCCAGTTTTGATGGGTGTAGTAGCTCCAATTGAACAATAGCTAGCTACTACAAACCAACATTTTGGGAAAAATATTGTTTTCCCTTTCACAGTAGGAATAATGAAATTGGAAAAATTAACTAAAAATCAACAAAGATAATTTTCCCAGTTTTGATGGGTGTAGTAGCTCCAATTGAACAGTAGCTAGCTACTACATGCAAGAATTTGGAAATATATATATACAATGGGGCAAAAAAGTATTTAGTCAGCCACCGATTGTGCAAGTTCTCCCACTTAAATTAATGAGAGGTCTGTAATTTTCATCATAGGTACATTTCAACTGTGAGAGACAGAATGTGAAAAAAAAAATCCAGGAATTGACATTTTTAAAGAATCAGTCGTCCTTAGCAGAAAAACAGCCCCAAAGCATGACGTTTCCACCCCCATGCTTCACAGTAGGTATAGTGTTCTTGGGATGCAACTCAGTATTCTTCTTCCTCCAAACACGACGAGTTGCGTTTATACCAAACAGTTCTACTTTGGTTTCATCTGACCACATGACATTCTCCCAATCCTCTGCTGTATCATCCATGTGCTCTCTGGCAAACTTCAGACGGGCCATTCACCAGGTCCACCCGTGTGGTTCTGGGATTTTCGATCACCGTTCTCATGATCATTTTGACCCACGGGATGAGATCTTGCGTGTAGCCCCAGATCAAGGGAGATTATCAGTGGTCTTGTATGTCTTCCATTTTCTGATAATTGCTCCCACAGTTGATTTGTTCACACCAAGCTGCTTGCCTATTGTAGATTCACTCTTCCCAGTCTGGTGCAGGTCTACAATTCTTTTCCTGGTGTCCTTCAACAGCTCTTTGGTATTGGCCATAGTGGAGTTTGGAGTCTGACTGTTTTGAGGCTGGGCAGGTGTCTTTTATACAGATAACGAGTTCAAACAGGTTCCATTAATACAGGTAACGAGTGGAGGACAGAAGAGCTTCTTAAAGAAGTTACAGGTCTTTGAGCCAGAGATCTTCCTTGTTTGAAGTGACCAAATACTTCACTAGCTCTCCAAGTGGAAGAACTAGCACAATCGGTGGCTGACTAAATACTTTTTTGCCCCACTGTATATTTCCAAATTCTTGCATGTAGTAGCTAGCTACTGTTCAATTGGAGCTACTGGGGAAAAAAAGTCATTGTTGATTTTTAGTTATTTTTCCAATTTTGTAATTGCTTGTATGAAGGGGAAAAACATTTTTTTCCCCAAAATGTGGCCTGTAGTAGCTAGCTATCATTGAATGGGAGCTACTACACCCACCAAATCTGGGAAACGTGTCTTTGCTGATTTTTAGTTATTTTTTCCAATTTATAATTGCTTGTGTGAAGGGGAAACAAACATTTTCCCCAAAATGTGGCCTGCAGTAGCTAGCTATCATTAAATGGGAGCTACTACACCCATCAAAACTGGGAAAAGCGTCTTTGTTGATTTTTAGTTAATTTTTGCAATTTCAATTTCGTTACTGTGAAGGGGAAAAACAATTTTTTCCCAAAACTTTGCCTGCAGTAGCTAGCTATCAATTATTGGGAGCTACTACACCCATCAAAACTGGGAAAAATATCTTTGTTGATTTTTAGTTCATTTTTCCAATTTCATTATTTGTACTCTGAAGGGGAAAAACATTTGTTTCCCAAATTCTTGCCTGTAGTAGCTAGCTATCATTTATTGGGAGCTACTACACCCATCAAAACTGGGAAAAACATCTTTGTTGATTTTTAGTACATTTTTCCAATTTCATTTTCGTTACTGTGAAGGGGAAAACAATATTTTTCCCAAATTCTTGCCTGTAGTAGCTACCTATCGTTCAAATGGAGCTACTACACCCATCAAATCTGGGAAAACTGTCTTTCTTGATTTTTAGTCTTTATTTGTCGTTTTTACCTCTTGCAATTTGCAGACGGTCCCTTGCGAATATCAAACGTTCGGCCAACTTCACCTCGGTTAGGAAATTTGAGTGCTCCAGTTTTGTACATGTAGCCCTTGTTTGCTCATTAATTACTTGAGTGGGCTAGGGGTTCTTTAATGTGTGTACTCTCGTATTAAATAGTTTGACTCTAGAGCTATTTAAACTATTTTGGGTCGCAGGGCTATACTTTTACTCATACAAAGATATTCTAAACAGATACCAAACCTGAATTAAATTAACACCAGACACGAGGTAAGTATAAAACATCCCCTCCCTTTAATTACAAAAAATAATAAAGCTCAAAATCAAGTTAAATGCACGTTTCAAGGGACTGTAACATAAACAATGCTCACAGACACAACGAATACATTATAATTTAACTAAAGCCGGTGTTCTGTCGAGTTGGTCTGCCCGTCGAGATGATTTGGCTCAGCTGTTAATGATGTAATGCAAACCTGCGCTGCGCGTCTCACTGCAGCCAAAGCAATCCAAGATGGCGGACATGTAGTCAGCGAATTGCTTTAAAAGTTAAATACGAACAAATTAAGACACGAATGTCACTTTTAATGCAATTTGAGGCGAGATGTTGATGGTTCCACGTTGTGATATGTGGGTTTTAAGAGTAAGAGTTTCGTGTAAAGTTTGTTTTAAAGGAATAGTTCACCGTTTTTACATACTGACATATGTTCTTAGCTTACCTTAGACTAGTTAATATGCACCTGTCTGGTCTTAGTCCGTGTGCTCTGTCATGCAAACGGAGCAAAAACGGGAGCACAAACGCAGCCTCCTCTGTATACTGTATAGTACCCAAAAGGTAGCTCCCGCTAGAAGCTACCAAACTCTTCCAAGTGTTCCTTATTAAATGTATATAGTTACGTGACGTGTTACACTGCAAAGTATAGTAACACAGAAATGTAACAGTCAATTTTCTCAGCGGATAAAACGGGTACTATATTGTGAGGCGTAGTAATCTGAGGAGCGCTACGTCCGCGCACTAACTTCTCTCCGGAGACTTCTCTCTCGCTCAC